ATTTGAGATTGCTCCGACGTGTCGTAGCAACTGTTGCACCTTATTGGATAATTATTGCAGAAACATCACCAAACTTTCTCAGACAGTTTCCAGGGTTTGAAGTTGGACGTGCTTTGTCATCACAACAGTTTTTCTGCATCTTCGTCCTGCACATATCGATTCGTCTTACATCCTCTGACCCATTAAAACTGCATCTGTGCATTTGCCTTAATATGGGCATGGAGGGCTGTCTTAATTAATAAGCAGGCATCCACCAAACTAATCTGCCTGTGTTGTGAAGGCTGTCCTTTCCATTAAGTGGGACTCACATTATCTCCTAATCAAATTAGTCACTTAATTGTGGCCCTCCCTTGATGGATCGCATGAAAAAAGGAACGGCGTGTTTGCTGGAGGGGGGTGATGTGCGTGAAGACGGAACACGGCTGCTTCATTACGATATGAAATTTTTTAATAACCAAAGCGTTCACTGTCATCGTCTTGCTTTGAACTTTGGCGCAGGGTGAAGTTGGATGTGACATTTTATGCGCTCTCACAGCTGAGCGTGGAGCTGCGCGTTAGGCTAAGTGCCTAGCCCAAGGCTCGACCAAACTGCCCAACAGGGGATTGACCCCTGTCATCCGCTGATCACTGGCTTCCTTAATCACTTCCACATCGTCTGTAAGGCCTGATCTCAGTCCAGACGATCCGTCTCCCTTCAAGTCATGATGGAGGGAGAAACTTATGTCAGAAAACTCCTCCTCTGAGTTCTGGACCAGACCTGGGTGAAGACAGCAACCCCCACATTGCTCACATCAACGTTGGTGCAGCAAAACATTTAGTTTGTACATTTTAAAGATATTAATAAATATTTCCAGAGGTCATCAAAGGTCAACCAGCCACCCCAAAATTTACAGAATCAAACTAAATGTGGCGTCAATCAACTCTGCTACTTTTGTGCAACATTTTTTTTTCCTTTCTGCAGTTGTAAATTATAAGATTTAAAAAAACAAAAGTTTCCACAGGTCACCAGAGATCAGCTTGTCCTCCAGCTCCCCACATGAACAAAGCCAAACAAAAACATCAGCTGCACAAACCAGGAAAAACCTTAGAAAAAACATTTAGTTTGATGTTGTTAATGTTGGGGTGAGGGCATGTTGACCTCTGATGACCTCTGGAAACTTTAATGAAAAAAATTAGAAAAGTTATAGCTGCAGAAATTGAAACTTTTGTTTCACAAATGTAGCACAGCTGCTTCGCACCACATTTAGTTTGGGAGCTGATTGACCTTTGACCTCTTGAAACATTTATTATGGTCTTCAGAATGATTCGGCATTTTGAACCAGCCTCCCCACTTTTACAAAATGAAACGCATTTTGAGTCAGTCAACTGTGCTACAAAGAATTACTGAAATAAATTCATTATAATTTAGTTTTTCGTTAAAGAAGGGCAAAACGGGTTTTTTTTATCCTAAAAACGATAACTGCAGAAATGATTTTTTTTTCTTTTTGGTTGATTGACAGCATTTTCTGTTTTATTTTCCACATATGCAGGAGGAGGTTGACCTTTGATGACCTCTGGAAGCAATTATTAATATCTTTAAAATGGTAGTGGCACAAACGTTTGACTCTGATTTTAATAAATTTGAAGAAGGTGAAGGGCGACTTCCCTCAGCTATCGCTGCTCCGTCGTTTACCCCGTTTCTTCTCATCACGGCTCCACTGATCGATTGATCAATCAATCAATCAGGTTTATTTTTATAGCACATTTCAGCAGCAAGGTAGTTCAAGGTGCTTTATATCATAAAACACAAAATTATAAAGTTATAAAAAAAACAATTGAACAAACCATACCAACATTTATACACATCAGATATGTTGGTCAATGCTTTTTTTTATTATGGTTGAAAAGCAACTCAGTTTAATGACGATGATGATGTCAAAAACAAAACTTTACTCAAACAATAAACACTTTCCTAATAACCAACTCACCACATATTTATAAGGAATCTTCAAAACGAAGGTAAGAGACGTTGTTCTGCCAGCCAGACATAAAAACCGACATCTTGGGATTCGTTTGAACCAACTGAGGTAAGTAGGTAGGCAGAAGTGGAGGCCGCAGGGGCCGGCGTCCTCCAGGGGAGGCGTCCTGACGAATGGATGGCTGCTTGGTCGTTTGTCCTGCTGATTGAGTTTTATCCCCTGCCCTTTCACTGCAGCCAGACAATAAACAGAACCACATCCAAGCGTGACAGGTTAACCTAACGGTAATAGAATACTCCTAATGGTGCGGCCCGAGCCAAAGTCCACGGTGTGCGGGGACGGCCCGAGTTCGATGGCGGTGGGAGTGCCGGGAGGGGGCGCGGCGGCGGCAGCTCACACTGTTGGTGTCAGGCGGGAGCAAGGACAAAGAGGGCAAGTTGATGGCTTAATGGGTGGTTTGATGGCTTCATAGGGTGAAAGTGAACTTGTTGAGGGCAACCAAACAGATGAAGCAGGCCAGACTGGGGCATTATACAGAGAGAGAAATTAGCTGCATGCTCGGCGCACGGCTGGCCTGGATATTTGCGCTTTATTGGAATCCTGGAGCTGTTTGAAGCTGGCATTGTCTCACCGAGTCTCTCCTTCACACAGAGAATGATTTATCTTGGATGTTGTGACACTGCGATGCCTATACAGCAAAGAAAATAAACACAATCAAACTGAGCAAACTGTCAAAAGAGATTTAGATGATGTTGTTATGACGCTGACATGAACGTGGCTGTTTTCTGGCAGATAATCCTCACAAAGAGAATCCTCCGGGCTACATGCACCCGCGCAGGCAACACTCCTGCCTGTTTGTTTCTGCAGCACCTCTCCCTGCAGTTTGTCATGTCTGACTGGGGCTTTAATTAGGCCTGCAAATTGAAGCGGCAGCAGCAGGCCTGGGAGCCCTCTGTCCACGGCTCAGCCGTCCTCCACGGCGTCTCCTCGGAGGACCTCTCTGCTCTGTGTGGTTAAGATAATAGAGGCTCGCTCAGAAGATGTTAATTGAGGGGAGATAAAGTGCAGCAGTGGCTGCAGGGATGCAGCGTGTGGGGGTGGAGGCAGACGGGAGGGAGGGTTACCTGATTAGAGGCTTAGGTGTTTGACTTGCAGCTCTCTGTTTGATGACGATAGATTTTTTTAAAGTATGGAGGATGGAGCGAACAGGAGTGCGCATCAAAAAACGCAGAAATCTAAGACCGTTATTAAAGTTTCCCCCGAGGCGTTTGTGTTCTGCTCATTTCTAGACCCAATAAGGTGAGGCGATTTGATATACTTTCTCCTCTTAGCAGCTCACAGTGGAATTTAAAAAGTTGGATTTTATGGAGCCTTTTAAAGGGCATCCAAGCATCCTTAAATTCATGTAGCTAAAATTAAGGCCTTAACCCCCCATAGTTCTAGTTTCATACTCAGGAGAGTGGAAGATGTCACTTTTTCAAACTGTGGAGAAGCGATGAGGGTGTGCTGTCAGTCCGCCTTTTCATGAAAACACTGAATTACAAAACAACCCTCATGATAGCGCACGCAGGGTCAGTGCAACCCCATGGGGACCGCACACAGGGTAAGAAGTTCATGCAGGGTCCACTCGGCCGTCTGTGGACTGTGGGAGGGTTAAAATGTCTTAAATTTGTTTTTTAACAAAGTAAGTTAACCTTTAATCTGTTAAACACACATCTTAATTATTTAATCTCATATGTTCAATGCATATTTTTCTTGCAGAAGTTTTCTGTCAGTCGAGACGATCGATGCTATCAGTAGCTCACTGCTAGCATACCCTTGCTAGCTTGTTTCCATCTATGATGGGAAAGTTTATTGCCAGTTGGCTGGAAAAAGTTGGTACTTTTCAGTCCTTGAATTTCTTTTATAGTGGTCTGTAAAAGGTTTTTAAAACTCTTTAATTTTGAGTTTGGACATAAGGGTCACGAAAACAGCTGAAGGGACAGAAGTTACAATATTGATGGCATTAAGTTTGGAGAAAAGAAAACTGAAAGAGAGGAAAGAGTCGACCCAGGAGAGGATCAGTGGTTCAGGTTACTGCTAACTCACTGCTAACGTACACAAATTTATCGCCCGTCGGTCGGACAGAATTCGTACATTTCTGTTGTGATTTAGCTCTTAAATTCCATCATAATGGTGTTACAAATGGTCTGAGTGAAATCTGCAGAAGCCCAGTTTTCGGGGCGAGAAAGGGAAGCAAAATTGACTTTGGACATCAGGGTGACGAAAACAGCTGAAGTGACAGAAGTTACATTATTAGTGGCATATGTCTGGAGTCCAGAAAAGCTGAAAGCGAGAGGAAACAGTCGCTCCGTCAACCCAGGAGGGGACAAACGGGTAAAAGGAGGCAAGGACAAGGAAAAAATATCCTAAAACAGCGCCAGCAGCCTCAATAATTGCCTGAATGCCAGTGGGATTGCTTTCATTCAATCAGAGCATTCTCTCTCGCTGTACGCTGAAGGTGGAGATGGAGTTTTGGGAGCTCGGAGGTTGGGCCGTGGGCGTGCGGGAGAGCCGGTAGTGCCCTCCCTCTCTCCCTTTCTGGGTAACGTACGGCTCCGAGGGCGATCGCGCCCCGGCAGCCGCCGAATCTCTGGCATCAGTGTGAGCAGCCGAGAGTGAGAAAAACTGTGTGTGTGTGTGTGTGAGAACAGAGTGAGGCGGCGATAAGGAGGTAGGTGGACCACAGATCCGACTTGTCACAAGTGACTGTGAGTCCAAGTGCGTCCCCGCATCTTTTTTCTGTTTTGAATTCCCAACAAAGCGTCCCACCTCCCTGCTTTTCCACACCAGCTCCCACTAACACACACATTGCTCGAGGATTCCTTTATTTCTTTATTTGGGCTCCTGTTGGTGCACGCATTAGATGCTCGGCTCCCTCCTCCTCCCTTTTCTTCTTCTCCTCCTCCTTGTCCTGCTCTTCTCTCCTCCTCCTCTCCGCTCTCGCTTTGCTGCTCTCACAGCCTAGTTTTCTTTTTTTTCTCCCTCTTCAATCTTGTGCAGGTTGTATCTGACGGAGGAACCGGTGCCGCGCTCCCATCCTCGCGCTCCTCCAACAACAACAACACTGTGAGTATTCTCATGCTAATTCTTCTTCTCCAGCCTCCCCTTACATCCGTTTGTCTGTTTCTCCCCCTCGCTTTCTTTTTTTTCCTCCTTTTTCATTTTTTGTCTCTTGTGTTCTCATCCGACGCGCCAAACGCAGCGACGGCAGCAGCAGCAGCGCGGGAAGGTAGAAGAAGTGTAGACAAAAAGAAACGAGAGAGAGCATGCACAGAAATGGAGAGACGAGGGGAGGGGAGGGACGGAGATGGTTGCTGCTGTCGCTGCGAGCAACCCGTTCTGCTTTCGGAGGTGTTTCTCCTGGAGGATGGTGGAATTGCTGAAGGGATGTAGGGGGCGGGTCTTGGTTTTGTGAGTAGATAGCTGTGCGAGAATGATAGGGGATGTTGTTGACAAGCATGGAGTGGCTCATCAGGCAGCCGGGCAGCGGGAGTCAGCCGCTCCTCCACGTTGACTAAACTTCTCATTCATTAATCCGCGCCTTGAATCTCGTCTCTCCTCGTTTCGCCGACTTTTCTGCGTTGATGATGAAACATAGACGGTTGCTTCAGTCACGTGTGCTTCTTTGAGCTCCCAGATGTAAACAGTAATGACTTCACTCTTTGTCTGTGTGTGTAAACATGAATCTATATATATATATATAGATTCACAGTGTGTGTCTGTGTGTGAGGTCAGAAAGTCAGCGTCCATTCCTGCTTGCTCCCCTTTGATCAAAGAGCCTCATTTAGTCCGCCCACGGCAGTGTGTGAGCCATATGAGGAGTGGGTGTGCTTTATGTGTGGGGGTGAGATGGATAGGCCCCGCTCCCTGACTGCTACACCGTGGCTAATGGGCACTCGGGTCGGCAGGGGTGCAAGCACATCCGGTTGAGTCCCTTCTCCGTGTCCTTCACAAAAAATAAATAAATACATTTTGGAAATCTTTGCGAGAAGAAGAAGAAGAAGAAGCAGCAGCATATTGGGCCAACAAAACGCTCACAAACACACTTTGGCAGATTCATTTGGCAGAGTGAAAAGGATTGATCTGAGCATGGCAATTAGGCAAATTTCAGAACTAAGCATCTGGCGAGGCGAGAACGCTTCGCCTGGCAGAGGATTACCATTTTAGTTCCATTTTCAGCCCAGAATGTGTTATTTCACAGCACTCCAGCAGCACTGCGGCGCCGCAACAAAACCGCCACGTTGGGGAATCTTTCTCTGTCGCCTGTTCGTTTCCACGGCCTAATAAGTCCGAGTAGCGCTTTGATTAATATCGATTAGGTTTAATATGTGCGTCCTCCCTCCTTCGTGATGGCGAGTCGTCAGAGTAAAAATGCCCGCCTGTCGATGAGCTTGCTTTGGAAAGCAGGCTGATATAAATGAGAACCATTCCCCCAATTAGGGAAGATTAGGTTACCCTCCACCAATCTGAATCCTTAAATCCCTTCTGTTTTTACAGCTCTGTCTGGCAAATGTAATTCAGCCTTGAGACCTGGGCAGAATAGCAATAAAAGAAGGTAGAAAGTTTAGCAGTGAAGCCCAGGCAGTAAAAATATCCACTGGGAGAGGGAGAGCGAGAGAAAGCACATGATAATTGACACTGCACTGTGTTGCAGTTGGCTGTAATTAACTGTGTAACAGAGGTTGTCAGTTGGAAAGGGAGAAAGGCCCGACTATCTTAGTGCATTTAACACACTTGAAAGTGCAACGTTTATCGTGTCTCTCCAGCTTTCAGCGAGGTGCGTTTCAGGTTAGCGTGGGCCTCTCGGTTGTATTCCTCCAGATCTTTTTACTCCAGGGCCAGTCGGGCATTATCCGCTGCCTCCCTCTATCCTTTCGCACCACAGTAAAAAAAAAAAAAAAATCAAAACCAGGAGCCATTGTTTCTGGGGCGAGCGGAAAAGGCTTATCATCTATTTTTAGTTTGCTTTTCCTCGTTGTTGCCTGGGCCACGATTCATGCTTATGTCTGGAGATTTGGTGCCATAAACTACGTTGCGCTTCGCAGCCAGGCGCTGGCTGGTGACAACTCTCACCCACACATTAGTGATCTATGAGCCGTATAGCCGCAGACCCCCTGCTGCCTCGCCAGCCGCTTCCCGAAGCCGTGCAGGACCACAGCGGCGACGCGCTCCGTGTGTGATGGCACCCATATGTGCAGAGAGAGCACCTGCATTAAGAAAACGTGCCAACGCTTTTATTTCTCGTCACTTATCACAAGCCGCTACATGCTGCAGCGAGAAGGGGGGAGAAAAAAAGCTCATAAAGATAAAAATCACATTTCACTAGAGGGTGCTTGTGTGACAGTGATATATGCTGCGAGCATCCTGGCACCTCATTGAGAAGAGAGTGAGTTCTGGGTGGGTAAATCAATTTGTGCAGAGGCCGTCGCTGCTAGTATTGGTTTCGTGATATGATCTTTGTTGTCCATTTTTAGAGGTCAGAGCGAGCACGGCGACAAGGGCAGCCGAACCCGACCGCTTTCTCTCTCGTTCTGTGCTGGTAAACGATCTCCTCCTGGAGGATTGTGGGTAAAGTAAGGCCATGTGTCTTTTTTTTCTGTCTTAAGTTGAGACACTATGGATTCTCTATTAAGAAAGTACGTTCATCCATTACCACGCACGCCTTGATAAAGTGTCCAGAGCCAGAGGTGAGCGCAGCCTGCGCATTAATCGCTGTAATTACTCAGGGAGGCTGACACTGATTCTGGAGGTGTGTCTGACTGCATACACCAGTAAAGGACTGGGGGCGGCTGCTGGTGGACCAGTCAATAGGTGAACCCGACTCTGTTAGACATCTGTGGGCAAAGCAACCCGTCAAAGTTTCATCCATTCATCCACAAAGGGCGGCGCTGGGTCCCAGTCCGGACCGCGTGATGGCTCTGTTTGGACCCGGACCCAATGTGGTTCACTAAAATGGAGTTTTATTTACTGCTCTCTCAAGATGATGAGCCGTTTTACTTGAAAGCTACTTCTTTATAGCTAGCTGCGTTTTTAATTTAAACCTCGGTGTGTACTTTTTGTTTTCTAAGGATGTTAACTTACATGAAGCTGATTTGTGTAGCACATTTCAGCAATGAGGCAGGTCACAGCATGAAAGCATCACCAACCACGAAACAAGCAAATCACATTACAATTAGTCAAAAACCCTCATCAAAATCATCAGTTTGGATGTTAATTTTTCTCATTTAAAGTGTAAACCTTCAATAGTTTAGGCTTCACATTAAGAGAAAAAGGGCTATTAGATATGTTGAAGTTTCTGTTTAATCTGAAATAAAGTATTTTTGGTTTAGTTTGTTGTGCAAATATCTTAGTACTCTTGAAATAAGACAAAACTAACTTACAGGTAAATTTTCAGTGACACAGGAGCTTCTGCTGGGTCAATAATTTATTAAAAAGAAAGGATTAGTTACACTGGTAGATTATTCCACCTGCTAGACGTCACTTCCTGCCTTATAGGTTTAATAATCTGAATTGCAACGCTGGAACAAGCTCCTCTGTGTCGCTGAAAAGTTAAACTGTAAGTTTTGTCTTATGTCAAGTGTACTAAGATACAATATCTAAAATACAAAATCTCACCAAGTATTTCATTTAGTTTTTACTGCAAATGTCTTAGTACAATAAAAAAAGGACAAAACAAACTTAAAAGTAACTTTTTAGCAAGATATAGACACTAGCTTTAAGTAAAGATTATTTCACCTGCAACAAAACATTTTTCCCATGTTATAAATGAAATAATCTGCTAGAGAAAGGAGAACTTTAAATTCAACATTTAAGGACTTACTGTCTTAAAACCAGCTTTACAAATTCCTGAAAAGTTACTTACTGAAAAGTAAGTTAGTTTTGTCTTATCTTAAGTGATATTTATACTAAAACTGGATAAAAATACTTGGTAAGCTTTTGTTTTTGCAGACGTCTCTGTGTTTACTGTGAAGTGCAGATTGTTAGCGGTGAAAATGTGAAGATGGTTAAAAGATTCTGTTTGGATCTTTTCTGGACCTCAGTGAGTTTTTAAAGAAACACGCCGGTGGTGCCGGACACTCTCTTTGACTGACTTGCGATCAGTGGGAAGTGCTGTGCAGAATCACCACAGCAACGACTGCTTAGCAACAAAAATGTTGACATCATGAAAAAAACAGTGGAAGAAACAAAGAAAACAAGAAGGAACCGATGATTGTTCAGCTTCCAGATTGGGCTGCTGGTTCTGTCCTCCCGGCGCGCAGACGGAGAGATGAGGGGGTCAAATGCAGCGTGTCATGTCAGGGATGTAAAAGCGGAGGACGGAGGGGTGGGGGGTGTATTGTCTGCACAAGGGCAGCAGAGTTACTCTTTGTGCGCCGCTTCTGGAATGTGTCTGCTAATACTGTCAGTGTTCCAGCTAATCAGAGCGGCATTGTTGGCCATAATAAGTGAATGGAGTCTAATAGGTGAATGTGTGCCACTTGCCGTCTTATCTCACAGTGACTTTCACTTGCACTGCCTGCAGCAAGTAATCATGAGAAATATGACTCAGAGACGGCGTTTTTAATTAAGGACAGTTTTTAGCATGGTGGGAGAAGAAGAACGCAGCTCCGGCTCGCCCTGCGCGCGCTCGCACACGCATGTGGAGCGGTTTTCTTTGGGTTCCTCATTAATCACAGGAGCATGTCTGATACGGGCGTGCAGCGGAGGAAACCAAGCTGGAACGGCGCGGTGGAATATTTGAACATCTCGGTGCTGATGTGTGCAAAGCGGAGTGTGTCTGCAGGGGAGGCTTTGAAATTTCATCCTCTCCATCCCTTTTAACTTGGCGGAGGGGATGTGTGTGTCTCGCTCCAGTTGGCCGATGGCTGTTAGGAAGCTCCACGACCGCCACCCCTCTAACCATTCACACACACACACACACACACACACAGAGAGAGGTTGGTATCTGTCTCCACACCCCGTCCTCCATCCGCAGACCTGCTTTGTGTCAGATAGTTTAATGTGAAATTGCTTTTCTTTCAAATTTCCCCCTGGAAACGCAGGTCGTCGCAAAAATGTTACATCTCATAATGGTGTGTTATTGTTGTTTTTTCATACGAGTCCTTGGCTTCTGAGCAGAGGGTTATTTATTTATTTTTTCTCTCCAGCACAGAGCTGAGGTCACACTCTGCTATTTTTCCCTCTGCTGCTGTCACAATCTCAGATTCTGTGCAGAGTTCCTCCTCTGCTGCGCCCATGCTAACCTCTCTGAAACATTTATCACCACCTCACTCTGTGATTACGCTGTGCATTAGTGGGGCTTAAATTTAATTTGTCGGCGGGCCCCGGCGGCGGTGCTACGGGCCTGGCCTATCAGAGACACTTTGTAACGGGCCCCTGGAAGAGCCTCCCGGGGCCGTCCTATCAGTCAGACGCTCTGTCAGCAGACACACTCAGTTAGTCAGCACCGAGTCAGAAACGTGGCCCGGCCAAACTCACACGCCACCGCCGGCCGCTCCGCTGGGCCGCCGCCTCGTCGCCCAGATCCCCCGCCTGCCACTCACAGCTCCAGCACGGATGCTGACCTTTAACCCCGCTGCTCAGATGAATGCTCTTCAACAGGTGACACCCTCGCCTCTCTTCCTCTCTGATTTCATCCCTCTTCGGCGCCACCTTCTCTCTGGTGTCCCGTCTTTTTGCACCAACGCCAAAATCCCTGCTTTGGAAGCTTTCAGGAGCCAAAACCCAAAAATATTGTTGTGAATTATTTCTCTTTTACCTGCACAACAATAAATAAAACGTAATATTTTATGCTTGCCTTTGCGTTTAGAGGCATTTCACTTTTTGGACTTAGTGTCTAATTTTTAAATCTATGAAATGTTTTTAATTTATACCCAGGAACAAAGACTTTGCCCAGATCTCTATTTGAGTAAAAACTCGCTTGATGTTTATGGTTTGACTTATTATGAAATAACAATAAATAAATAAAAACAGGCTAGATTAGAGAAAAATGTTGTTCTACTTATTATCTTTAGTTTAGAAGATATAAACTTGCCACAGAAAAAATCTCATCCTATAAAAAGTGTTGGAGGGCCACAAGTGGCCCCCAGGCCGCACTTTAGACACCAGGATGAAAGTATTCAGGGGCCAAAATTTAAATTTTTTCGGCCCCTGAATTGCAGTCAGGGGCCGCACAAAATGACTCCAAGGGCCACAAACGGCCCCCGAGCCTCACTTTGGACACCCCTTCATTCCTCTGTTTAAGACGTGCAGCTTGTTTGCCAGCAGCTCTGCAGGATGCACTCAAATTATTGAATATTTTTAGATTTTATCCAGCGCAGTGTCAGTCTCTCTGACAGCCGCTTCAATAATAATCACCTGTCGTAAAGTGGCTATTACTGTCCTCCACTGCTGTGATTTACATTAATACCTGGTAGTTAATGTCATGTTTCTTTATTGGGAGAATGTAGGACATTAAATTCAACACGCTGCCTCTGCAGTTACACGCCGTGCCATTATTCTCTCTTTTGTCCTCCTTTATTTTTACTTCCCCATTTTCATCCTCCTTCAGACGATGATCAAAATAGCCTGATCTGAGGCCACTCAAGGCTGCTTTTATCTGCGCTCCCTGGATGAGAAGGTCAATTTTCAAGGCGTTTTGTTGGGGGGGAATGTAAAAACCTGCTAGTTGCTAAGAGAACCAAGAGGGCCCCTGCTTCCCACAGCTCTAATTGGGGTCCGTTTTCATTTTCATATGGTTTTAAATGTCAAGAACAGAGAATGTGCAAAGTGTTTCGAATTTCCACTGGAAGCCATCAATCCTTGGGTCACACAGGTTGAAAACGTATTCTTTTATTGCTATTACTCTGCAGCTAAGTTTCGCCAGTGGAAAAAGTTAAAAAGGAAACATGATGTACTGCCTCTGACCTCATCCCTGCTCCGCTGGGGACATCATGTCAGGAGATGCCAGCGCCTTTCTTCATTTGACAGAAACAAATCCTCAGAAAGGACTCCTCCTCCTTCCTCTGTGGAGGATTTACACCGTCCTGATGCCACCTCTCTCTGCCCAAACACAAGGACTCCTACTTCCACAGATTCATGAATGGGATTGTGTTAATGCTTAATGGATGGCGTCTGAGCTTCTGAAACCAGAAATAAACACAGCAGCTATCATATTTGGTCTAAATGATGTTAAATGAAGCCCTGCTGATGCTGGAGTTGAGTGTAATCTACCACTTCCCTCTATTATTACTAACCAGTACCTATTGGGTACAAACCAAGGTACCTACGGGCTGCATACAGGCTTACTTACAGGCTAATTAGTGGTTACTTAAAGGGTTTGTTTACAAGGTTGCCACTAGAGTCCCTCTGATGCCTGCAGGGTGTAAAGGCGCGTACCTAATAATGATTATGTGGTTTCTGTAGGGTGCTTGAAGAGCACTGAAGGGGTTTCTATGGAGGTACTTACCTTTGGGGTATCTCTGGCTTATGTCTCAGCGCTGCTTACAGGGTAATTACTGGATTTGCAGGGCAGCAATGGGGGAGTACATCTGGAAGTTTACAGTGTAATTAAAAAGTACTTATAAGGTACCAT